TCAGCAGACTTGAGAATGCAGAATTCCCAAACAAAATGGCATTATTCCACATCTGACAGTTTTTTTTGAAAGGTTTATTTGACAGAGTACCTTGTTTAGTCAAGGTTGCATCAAATGTCAATACGTGCTTTGAACTGTTCTGCTGTTCCTATGTTGTTTTGTTCATGCTGACTGTATCATAAGATTTAATAAAAGCATCTCTTCTTTGAGTTAGAATCATAGAATGGATTGGGTTAGAAGAGACCTCAAGATCATCTAGTTCCAACCCTCCTGCCATGGGCAGGGACACCTTCCACTAGATCCAGTTGCTCAAAGCCTCATCCAACCTGGCCTTGAACACTTCCAGGGATGGGGCACCCACAACTTCTCAGGCAACCTGTTGCAGCGCTTCACCAGCCTCAGAGTGAAGAAACTATGCTGGAGTTGGAGAAACTGATGGGCAGGAAGGTTCAAACTGCAACTGGCACATGCTTATCTGAGACGAGATACAGGAGTTTGAATTCTTCACATTCAGAAGGCTCGAAATCCTAGCCTCAGTTCCACAGTTTCCCTTGTCCAGTAATACAGTACTGATAATGAAGAGTTAAATTTTAAATGATATACTGCAATGGAGGGTGATAGTCGGCACTGGGTGAGAAACTGTCTCCCTGCTTCCACAGAGGTAAGCTCCACAAAGGGCATCTCCTAGTTCGTGAAGAGTTCCTCTTTTCGTATTGACTCTGTGAATTGCCATACTGCCTAGCACTTTCCTTTTAAAGGATTGTCAACATTTGTCTTAACTGTGGAGCTGTTGCATAAATAGCATGGTCTTTCTTCGATAAAGCTTTTAAGAGAGCCACTGTAAGCTTTGTGCATGGATCTCAGTTTCTTATGACAAGTAAGGGTACTTCAGAGCTTGGCTATTGGATGTGCACTCCCAATAACTAAGGGAAGGAACCTGTGGTTTCTAAACTTTTTAATAGGTGTAAGTGGTAATGAGCTTGTAGCTAGCTATTCTGAGAGAGCCAGGCAGGTGCTTGGGAAACTGAGAGAGATGACTGGCTTTGCGAACATGTAGGTCTAGAGCTCTCAACTCAGCTGCTGCTTAGAAGTAGCGACCTTTGTGTAGTCGGCTTCAAACACTCAGTCTTGCCCTGAATTGAATGACTGCTAGGTAAGCAAATTATGATAGGGTGGTGATTGTGTTAGAGATCACATAATGCGATTTTTCTGCAGTTGTTTAATAGCTATAACAACATTGTGTTAGTACTAATTCTTGATAATTGTTTAGGAGCTTTTGTGCTAAATTAACACTTTTGGACACACGAAGGTGAAAATACAAAGTTCATCTTTCATGTGAGTTTACCTTCTTTTTGTGTGATAATTGTTATCTTTTCGGTAGTCTGTTTTTTTTTAAATCCCCATTCTCTCCTTTTTCATCATGTTCATGTTGAGTTTTCCGGTGTAGTAGACTACAAGGCTGAATTTTTGGTAGATAACTCATTGTCAGATTGTATTCAACAGCTGTGGGTAAAAGCATTTCATTAATTTTGGAGGAATTTCAGTCCATTTAATTTATTGTCAGTTATCAAACACCTAAGTACTGATTCTGATACAGAAGACAAACACTGAAGAAAAAAACACCCCTTGCTGCTGCAAAACCCCTCCTCCCCACTCTTTGTGCGCCAGTCCCCATGCCGCAGGCTGTGGGTGGCACAGAAGACGGGGGTCTGTTCGCAGGGGCTCCCCCACTGGTACCCTCCGGTGAAGGTCATCGTTGCTGGCTGCCCCTCAGGTCCGTTGCTTTTCTCCGCCTCACCTGCTACAAAAACCTTGCTAGTGATGCTTAGTGCAGTCAGTTGGTGCTGAGCGTGAACCACACATCAAACACAAAGCCAGGAGCGGCAGCACCCTGAAGTGTATCTGAAATTTTTTAGCAGTTTATGCTGAGAGCACTATTTTACTGTGTTCTAAACTGCTCAAAAAGGGCTGGTTTACTGTGGAAAAAACGAGAAGCCACTCTTTGGTTTTCTCGTATGCGGGATTGATCGTGTGAATTGATGAACGATTAGGAAGAATGCGTGTGCTTTTACACCATATGATAAATCACTTTTAGGTGTATGTGAAGCATGTGAGAACTTGTGAGTTCTTTTTCAGAACATGGTTCCTATAGCCAAAAAAGTTAGTGTACGTCACACAGCCCAGTTTGAACCAAGTACATTAAGACCACAAGTCATTTATTCACTTTAGCAGCTGTTGTGGTTTATTCTGGAATGAATGAAAAGGATGTCAATTTGAAATTCAAAGAGCAAGAAAATGATTAAAGTAGTTATTTTTTACTAATTAATATTTCAGTTAAGGGCAAGAAAAGGAGAGAGCTAAGATGAAGAATAAGGTTCGCATTTGGCAGCACATCACACAGGAGATTGTAGTGATTCCTTAAGACCTCAAAGGAGCAGAGTTTTGCATTCAAGTTTGCTGTAAACAGTAACATAAGTTATTAGCTGTTTATACATTTAGATTATCCAATATCTACCTCAACTATAGCCTCTGTATCCTCTAGGTAAATCTCTTATTTTGGCTCCATTGAACTGTTGCTGGTACTGGTCTTCTCAATTCAATCTTTCAGCCTTCTATGCAGCAGGAGATGGACTTTTCTACACTTTCCTATAACTCAAAAAAAAAAAAAAAAAAAAAAGGAGAGATCCCATCCTTCATTCCCGTTGTATTGTTCCTAGTTCTTTTTCTTAGTAGCTCACACCTAGAAAGCTTCAAATTTTCTTTCCATCTCCCAAGAATACTTACATACTTAATTTTCTCAGAAAGAGAAAGAGAAAACGTCTTGAAGTATAGTTTTGCTCTCCTTTTAAGAAGAAAATAAAAGTATGCTTAATATAATCTTTTCTATGCAATGCATGAGTGCTTAGACTTTCTGGTGGTCTGCAGTGATGATTTTTTCATCTTTTAACATCCTTGGGTTTTCATGTTTCAGACTAAAAATAAAAACTATTTTAAAGAAATCTCATGTAACCAAATCATCAAGATGGTAACTATGTTACATAAAGATGTGCATAACTTACTGTATGCTTACCTCCATTACAAAGTTTCCTGAAGCAAGATGTTTTATTACTTGTGCTACAAACATATGTATTGGCTCTTAATAATGCCTGATGTCACATCAGTGAAACTGAGCTTTTTGGCAATTGTGGTGATATGTGTACTGAAACTGAAATTTTAGTGTGGCCATAGAGGGTTTGTCTGCTTTTTTTTTAACAGCCTAGTCACATGAAATATGTTAATTTTATTTCTTCAGCTGACATCTGAAATGTTTGAAGCTGATCTTGAAAAAGCTTTGCTGCTAAGCAAACTGGAATATGAAGAGCACAAAAAGGTATTTGCTGAATTCATCCTAATGTAAAAGCTGTACAGGTTTGAGGCTTGAATTTTAAAAATAAAGCAAAAAAACTTCTAAAGGTACAATTTTCTTCATGTAAATTGTTTGCTTACACTGTTCAGATGCTTCAGAGTTCAGAGAAACACTGGATTTGAAAGAAACCGTATATAATGGTATTGGGTGGGTTTTGTGTATGTGTTTTTTTTTTTAATTGGCCTGCAAAGGTGGAAAATTATTTTTACTTTTACAATTTTCTGGCATATAAATGTGCTGAAATTTTTTAAGAGCACAACAAGAGATCCTGACCTTCCTCAGAAAAAATCCTTGCCCACTTGAAGAGTAAGAGAATCAAAGCACTGACCTTAGGCCTTAAAGTCTTAGTTATGGTTGAGTCATTTGCATTTTTGCTAACATCTTGTCTCTGTTCTGAGTGAAAATATTTTGGTTCTAATAAGCTGTGTACATTTTCTTGGCTGATCAGGATGCTGTTTCTGAGTGGTTCTTAGTGATCATGGAAGAATTGTTCCAAAAAAGTATACCAAGATGAAATTTTTATTTCTAACAGGAAATTGCTTCTTATTTGCGATAAAATGCCAATTTTATTAAAAAGCCAATGAAATGTTATGAAAACATGTAAATTTTAATATGCATCATAAAGAAATAAAAATTGCACATGGACTTCTGTGCAAATATCTCTGTGCAATACTTGAGTTTCTTGAGGGTGAGAGTACCACAGTTCCTGAAAACCAAGGATAAATTTTGAGCATAGATTCTAAAAGTGCTTTTTTAAAGTGAAGACAATCTTCAAGCATAGTGGCATAGCATCGTTTGTAGAGTTTTGGAGAATTACCTCTGAATAATTTAAAATATATACTATATATTCAACATACACAGTACATGAGTACGCTGAACAAATCTTCTTTCTCTGGGGAAAAAAAAAAGCAAATAATTTCCGTCTTTGCTTTCTATATAACAATGTTTTTCTTATGTAAGTTTATTTTAAATTTTATTAAAATATTTGATTAATTAGTATTTAAGATTATTTTTAACAACTAGGACATTGATAATTTGCTAAGAATGTTAATGTAGATGTGTGGGGAGGTGGGACTCTGGTTCAGATGCCTATCATGTGCCTGGCTGTCTGATTTCAAGAGTAGTAAAGTCCATCGGTATAGCATTGCTGCACACTAACAGCTGTCTGACTTCTACTGAATGAGAAAGTGTATTTTGAGAATAAAAAGAAGGTACAGTAGACCCCTGTTTTTTGAAGTAAGTGCTAACCTGCATTGTGTAGCACTCTGCCTTCCTGTGTTTGACTACTGTATATTCTCAGTTTATGAATTTCTGGATGAAGTTTGACGTAGGTGACTGAGGAAGTATTAGCCTGATAGTTCATTTGCTGTTTAGTGAAGAGCAAAGCTCTACTTCAGAGAACAGAATTGGTGCTTAATTGCTGATATGTCTTGCGCTCTTGAAACCAGTCCGAAGCCTGCAAATTACTCAGGCTAAATCTCCTTTAGTGCATTATCACTTTTTTTTTTTACTTTATAAAGCTTCAGGAAAAAATATTTGGGTATTGAAGAAAATTACACCAGTGGGACTTTATTCTTCTAGGAATATGAAAACGGTGACAATACTTCATCTCAGTCAAAGTCTGTGAATAAGAAAGAGAAAAAGAACCAGCAAGGAAAAGACAAACCTCTCACTGTGTCTCTGAAAGACTTTCAGTCAGACAGTAACATAGGTATGCCTTATCATACCATATGAGCTGTTCTACTTGGAATTCTCAGTGTGTGTGCTAACAGCATAATGCCCTTCTGTCTCTATTCATTAATACTGTGTTTAAACAAACACTAAATGAGTTGCAGTTAGTATGTCCTGCCACGTCTAAAAGCTACGTGTTAGCAGGAAAAAAAGAAGAGGTTAAGGAAAACATAATTTCATGTAGTATCCCTGGTGTGGGTGGTGGATTCAAACATTTTTATTGTAACTTTTTAAAAATCTAAGTGCATTTTTTTGTATTACTGAGTTTGCACTCCTCAGGCAACTGAGTTTCTCTGTTTCCTGGATAACAGCAAGTAATTTTTTTTGCCTTTCTTCATGATACTGGCTTTTATTAAGATGAGTAAATATTTAAATAACTTATACATGCTCATTACCTGAGCATTATTTGTATGCTTAAAATTCCTTCATCTGTGTCTGTAGAGCAGAGATTCTGAATTTTAGTGACAAAATCAAGGTAGATGCTACAAAAGGAAGAAAGTAATATGTTTTCTAAGATTTTTTTCTTTTAAGAATGTTTTCATCTAAATCTACAATATTTAGTAAACACATTATTTCCAAATAATCTGAATAGAGGAAAAAGATTAAAAGCACAGCAATCTGGAAGGCATGGAAGACATTCAGGTATACAGTGAGATATATGCTATAAAAGCATAAATAGACTTAAAAAGAAACAAACCAACAAATTCCTTAAGTGTCTGTACCAAAGACATTGCCTTCCACTGTAACCGAAGCAAATGAATATAGGATGCTGCTTTTGATTAAATAATCTGAAAGATCTGGGAGAAGATGCAGATACAGGGACTGATTTGGCTTCTAATGCTTTAGTAATGACTTTTTTTAATTTTTACTTTGAGAGGAGAGTTAATGTCGAAAAACTCCAATAAATGGGTTTTCCCCTGCTCTTCAAAGTGTCTTGCTTCAATAGCCAGCTGTACAAGATTGATTAACTTATTGATGCATTTTTTTCTATCCTTTTCAGATCATCTTGCTAAAAAACATGAGGTAAGTCTTACTCAAACTAGTATAGCTAGAAAAAAAAAACCCACACTTAACCTCATATGTTTAGAAGGTAATTATTTTGGCACTTTCTGTAGTAACAATAAATTGTACTTTCTGAAACTGGCTGATTTCCATTTGGAAAATTCTTACAGATGCAGATTTAATAGAGATGTATGTCTGCAGTTCTTGTATCTCAAGAACTTAGTATTGGCTTGCTTAGAACTACCTCTTCTTTAGTTTTCAGATGTCTTTGATGCAACTTGCAGATTTGAAAGCATGTTAAAAAAATACAAATGTAATACAAAAAAGAGAAGCAAATTAGATAATGAAGTATGGTGAGGCTACTATATTGTACTACAGTCCACAAATATTAAAACTCTTATAGGGAAGTATAGTTTTACAGTGAAACAAAAGATGAATGAGTGTAGTCATAGTGCAAAATTATTAAATTTCAAATTCAAGCTTTTGTGTAGTCTCATCATCAGCTAAGTTTTAACTGTTAATTAATTTCTAGGCTCTTCAATTGGTATCATTCTCTAAGTGGAAAGCACAGTATTCTCAGAATGTACAACCTAAACCAGTATCTAGATGTAATGCTTTTCTATGACTTATGCTGTTTTTTAAACATGTTGATTTGTAGCTCAGTATGAACTTAAATGTAAAGGAAAATATGTATTGTACGCATTTCTGACAGAAACCGAACTCTTCTCAGTCTTCATTGCATGATGGAGGATTCTTCAACGGGCTGGAAGATGATGTTCACAAAATACTTGAACGAGAGAAGAGAAGAGTCCAGGTCACTGATTACAGTGAGGCAGATAACTGCACATCTCATGAATGCAACCAGGCATGTAAAACAACAGTCATTATCAAGTGAAGACGTTTGCCTAATGAAGCTTATTCAGTGATCAGAAGGGAGCACCTCAGTAGAATAAAGCACAAATCAAAAGCATTGATAACATTAAAGAATTAAAAAATCCACAACACTAATATTTTTGTCTGTCTGAAGAGGTATTTAAATGACTTAAATTTTTTAACGTGAAACACTTGTGATTGAAATAATTTTTGCTCCACAGAAAACGCCAATATTTATTACTGTGTTTCTTATCCTTTTGGTATCTGTGCACGTTTACCTCTTCAGTTTTGATGAAAAATTCTCCTCTTAACAAACATGTGAGTTGCCTTTCCTTAGAATCAAATGCATATGACTTAATTATTAAGAAGTGATATTTTTTTTTTTTTTTTTTTGCTTACAGGAGTGTGTTTTGAAAGACGGAAAAACAGAACAACTAAAGCTCGAGCTTGAAAAGAAAGATGCAGAAATTGCAAAACTGAAAAATGTAATAACTCAATGGGAGGTATGTAGGTGATGATATCTTCAAGTAGTAGACAAAACATTATTATACATTTGAAACAAAGTATTTATTAAAATGTGACCAGTCTGTAGAGATGCTTTGAACTGGACAGAGATTATGTATTTACAGAGCAAATTATTCCTTCAGTACCATATTAAGCAGTCTTTCTTGGTTAGTTAAGCATTTAAAACTAATCAAAAGAATCAAGACAAACATCCAGAAATAAACTTCATATCTGCCATATCAGTCACCACTTGTCTTCTAGTATTGGTATCTGGATCTGCCTTGGAAGTCAACTCTGCTGTGAGCAGGAAGTTGGACTTTCTTGGGTCTCTTCCAACCTGTTTATTTTTTGAATTCTTTTTAGCTTTTCTTGTATTTCAAGAACTACATATTGTTGAGATTTGTTATAGATTCAGTCCAATATTTGAAGTGCTTCAATAAATCAATGAGTATTTTGTCAGGTTTAAGAGAAGTTCCTTTAAAGCTGCAGTGTGACAAGAATGGAGTCCTGTATTTTGTTTTATCTTTTCCTATTACATACAAGTGAAACTGGAAATCATATTCACCATATGCTAAATCACACCAGGAAAAGAAGATTTGCTTGTTAATATAATTACATGGCATTGCTATATAATGAAGCAGCTAGGAAAAATGTCTCTGTCTTCCTGTTTTCAGTCCATGTTAGCATTGTCTGGATAGTATCTAGAGCAAAAAAGGGCAAAATTTCCATGAGGAACCGGCATTGTAACAAAATACAGTAAAGCAGCATAGAATTATTTTAAATTATTTTTTTATTATTTTTATTCATTGCTTAAGGTAGACTGAGCAGGCTGACAGTTTGAGAGTTTTCTGGTGCTTCGAAGAAGTACTTTTACTTATAAAGACATGAACTTTGTTAATAGCTGTTTTCACTGGGTACTAAAGTTGGAATCCCCAGATGAAATTTTAAATATAAACCTATTCATATTTACCACTATCAGCACTTAATCACATTTGACAGAGTAAACACTGTGCATAAGGATACTGGTGAGGTGATGGACAATGATACAGCTGTTTAATTTATGAACTTGTCCAGAGACCTTAATACAGTTTTAGGTGGCCATGAAAGGTCTGGCTTAAATATAAGTTAATTGTCCTCAAAGGCTGGTGTGATATTCCAAGTGGAAGGTAGTAGCTTCTTTGTTACAAAAGTATGTCTGAAATTAAACTTTTTTGAAGAGCCTATAAGAGCAAACTTGAAGAACGTGAAGAGACTTATGACAGGAAAAATAAATTTACAGCTATGATACATGGCTAGAACTGACATTGGTGGCCAATTGAGGAAAAGACTGATACATGAAGGAAGTATGGTGACACCAGATGGATTGGAAAAAACAGCAAAATAGGTTCTTGAGTAGTAAAGACTTGAAAAGGAAAGAAACTAACTTAGTAACAATAACTGCTGAGTAAAATAATCTGTAGAGCAGTGAGGTCTTGTCCTACTTGCCAAGTGACAAGGCAAACTATTTATCTCGGTATCTACAAAGTGCATTATTGGTGTAGTTTTTCAGGGGAGAAACCACAAAGCCTTTGATGCAACAGGCCTGTATGCTTCAGGCAGCCCTGAATGGCCATTCTTGTGCTATTGATGCACTGACATAACTGTCTTAGTTGAACCTGCTTTAAGCCTTGAAGTTGCCTTTTTTTCTCAACTTTGAGTTATTAATCCACTTCTCCTGTTGTGTATTCCTTACTTTAGCTGTGATTTAATTAAGACATAGATGGTCTTAAAGGTCTTTCTCAACCTAAATGATTTTATGATTCTACTATTAGATTCTCTGCAGTCATGATTTTAAACACTAAATCTGACTCAGTTATGCTTATTTTATAGAATATTTTTTTTAATCGGGTATGCATGCAGTTATTTAATCTCTTTAATACAGGCAAAGTGTAAAGAAGTGAAAACAAGAAATGCACAGCTGCTGAAGATGATGCAACAAGGTGAAAGTAAGTGTTTTATCAGGAAACTTAAAAGTTCTTTTTAAAACATGGGAACAACTTTAAAAGCAGCTTTTCAAAAATAACCTGACTCAGTGACAGCTATAAAGAACTAAGAAGCTATTAATTTGCAGTGACTCCAGTGAACTACAGAATTTGGACCACACAATACTACAGTATTTCTGTTATTATACAATGAAATAATCAGTTGTATGTTGAGAACATTCTTTGAAGTATAAACTGTTAAGTTAGGTTTTAGGTACAATGACTGAGTTAGACTTTTTTTGCTACTGACAACTATCTGTTCTGGACTGATCTCATTATAATATCTGTTTAGACACTCTTGAGGAAACTGTTCAGTGCTTGCATCTTTGCAAGCTGGGCTTTGAACTGTTGGAAGCATCATTCTGCACCTAAACAAGTCTTTTGTCACACAATGAATAGGGATAGTTAAACCACAGGATTATATATGCAACTGTGTGGTAATTTTCTTCTGTTACAACACTGTTCAGAGTTTTTATGATTCAGAGTTTGTTGTCAAAGCTTGTGGGAAAAAAATTATATATATATATACACTCATATGTATGTAAATATCCTAGTATCTTTATACTTGTTAAGCATAGTTATCCTTTAATATTCCTGATCTTGATGAAGTTGAGTCTATGATGCTAGCCCCACTAATTTTGCTACAAAATTGCCTTTGCTTTTCAAATATAGCTCTTGAATGTAGTTTCTTCTCCAGGCTAAATTTTCAGCTTAGAAAGAGCTCATTTTTTTTTTCTTTTAAGGATGTTTACAAAAACTATGTCTAAGCTAGTTCAAACGTTCATAATGTGATTCATCATGGTGAATTTTAACTTGGGACTTTATTACTTCAGGTCAATATCTGAGGCCAAGATGAAATATTTTAATCTTGAGAAGGAAAGAAGTGAAGTCCCTAAGGCTTTTGACACGTGGAATAGTAACATACTATAAAACAACCAATCTTCTGTTTTTCTACAGGCTGAGTAGTCTGTATGTTGTGGAGAAGAAAGTTCATGGCAGAATCGAGCCTTGAAAAAACTTCATTTCTTCATACTAAGAATTTTAATTTATCCACAGATACTTCAGAGACTAGCTAAATAGTTTAAACACCTCCCTGTTTGAGTAAATAGAAGTTTCTGTAGCTATCACTGAGCTCATATGTGAAACTTATGATCCAAAAATCTTGATCCATTGTCAATATTCAGTTTTCTGACGGACTTTTTTCTCAACGGATATCTCCAAAATCCATGCTGCTTACAGGGTTAAGTGTGGGTTAAGTAGTGCAAGGTTGGGGTTTAATCTCCAGAATTTTTCAAGCTTCTAGAGATGGCACTGGTAGCTAATGGTTGGTTTTCATTTACAGCATCTACTGTTCTTTTAGTGAGGACAGTATTTTTTTAGAGGTAACAAGAGTGAAATAAAGCAATGTCACGGTGCTATTGCAGAGGAACATGTTTAAATCTAGAAAGATCCTCATGCTGTATTTTTCTCTCTCCTTAGCGAAAGACAAAGCAGAAATACTCCTACAGGTTGATGAATCTCAAACTATCAAAGATGAATTAACCTTACAGGTAAGCAAGGATTTCTAAATGTAAAATTCCATGGGTGTTTCAAAGATGCTATTTATTTAGGGCAGTGCTAGAGGCAAGGGAGGGAGGGAAGCTGAAACAAAAACTTCTCTGAAACAAAAAGTGTAACGTTTCATCCTTAGCTCTGCACTGTGTGTGTCAGAGGACACGCATTATGTACATCTCCAGTACTGACTCACTTAGAACTGTTTCTGGAAAGACACCGGACCTCAGCATGTCTCAAGTGATTTTGCCCTAAACAGCACTTTAGGAATATCATTCTCTGGTAATCTAGGCTAGGAAGCTCAGAAAGGTGCTTCAGAAGATGCTTCTTTCGTGGGTGTTTGGGGTTTTTTGTTTATTTGTTTGTTTGTTTTTCTTAAATTTGTTTCTAGTCTCAAGTTTACGAACACAAGTGAGTTACAAATTACTTAAGACATGTCAGTTGGCAAGTCACTGTAGTAGAGAGCATGCAAGACTTCTATGCTTAGTTTTTGGTCCACAGCAACTGTTAGATCTAAGCCCTTGACTTGTCCAAAAGTCTTACATATAACACGGTACTGTTTTTTTGAGGGTGATGTAATAAGCTTATCTGTGTTGCATAATACGACATCAGTTATGTGCTTTATGGAATAAACTAATGCAGAGTCCAAAAGGTGGAAGAGTTTCTAACTTTATAGCTTTTCTGTATCATTATACAGGTAAACCTTTAAATGTTGCTTGGGAAATAAGTCATTAAAGAATACTTTACTTGTACTTCCAGTTCATGCAGAATGACAGTGGTAGTCACTCTTGAACTCGGCATGTGTTTCCTCTTTGCCTAACACAATACTGATGGAGAACAGCATTGACTTGATAAACTCATAGAAGTTAAGGATATTTTATAAACTCATATTCCGTCTGTTTTTAGGTAACCACCCTTCATGTTGCATTAGAGCAAGAAAAATCCAAAGTGAAAGTACTGCAGGCAGAATTAACAAAATATCAGGTAGTTATTTCTTGTGTTTGTAAGTTTACCTGTTCTTGATGTAGTTGAGACTATCATGAGGTAATGTCTGAACTGACCTATTAGCTCTAATTTTTCCAGTTAAAAAAAAAAATAAGCAGTTCATATTGTAGAAGAAAAACCAATGGCAAAACTAAAGCACAGTTTTGGCAAGTCAAAGTCTACCACTTGTTTTGTACTTTAAAAGTTCTTGAAGTATGCTGGTCAATAAACATGCTTCAAGCAACAAGTTGGTTTCATTGCTTAAGTCTAACTGTGTGTAAGTGGACTGACTGTAGACTTCATGGCTTTTTTTTTTCCACATTCTTTGGTATCTTAGTTCTGTCTCTAGCCAAATCTTTGAGATTCACACCAAGTTGTGTCGAAATAAGTGATAAGATCAGTGTCTTGCTGACTCTGCATGTGCTGTTTTGCTCAACTTGGCTGCTAAGGCAACTTGTGTTAGTGAATTTCACTTAACTTTTGTGTTAATAGCATGCTGCTTCACATTCTGACTTTCATTTAAAGGGCAATAGTGTTTGCAAATAAGGATTTGTACTTGTGCCTGACTTGAGTCGTTTTGGTTTTTGGGGTTCTTTTGGTGTGTTTTGTGTTTGTTTTGACTGTGACCTTTTGCATAGGTTACAAGGAGAGCCTGTAATATATAATAGAGACTTCTAAGGTAGCCGAGTAGTCTCTGGCAAGCTATCCTATTTCAAGTTGCAACACATTGTTTGTGTTGGAAAAATACAATTTTACGAAAACTGGCTTATTAAACCATAATTACTCTTTTCTGATTACATCAAATTCTTTGCCTAGCATTACATGGGGTTCTGTATGTAATCTTGTCTTTTTCTGTTGTCTTTTTCCCCTTGTCATCTTACCACAAATGAGCAAGTTCCTTAAAATTGTCTTGCAGCAGTTGACAAATATATATGCTTGTTCAGTCCTTTATAGACAAGCTGAGCGTTCATACCACTAATTGAAACTAAAGTAAATCTCCTGTCAAATTCAGTCATTTACATCACTGTTCTGACTTACCACTTCAGTCTTCCTGTTTGTTTTCCCCTCCCATCCATGCCTCTGCTGATGTTAAGTATTTTTCTCTGTAAATAGAAAATTTTGAATAAGAAGCTTATCTTGTGGTTAATTGTAATACATAGGATTAAAAGAATAACAGTAGAAAAATTACCAAAAAAGGTATTTTTTTGTATGATTAGTAATCACTGCAAAATCAACTATTCTGTTGCTCTTTTTCCCCTTGATGCTCCTCAGTTTAATGTGTGTTTATGTTTTCACATCTTGCTGTATTTCTTGCTGAATTCATCACCCTGTTTTTTTTTGTTGTTGTTGGGCTCGTTGGGTTTTTGCCTTTTTTTTTAAATAGCTCTGTGTGTTTTGTTTTAGGAAAACAGTCTCATCTGCCTTGCGGAGGTTGTTGTTTCTGCCTTTATTATTCTCTCCTGTAATCTTGCAGGCTGACCAGGACAGCCCTTATTATATTGCTACTTTTTGTGGCATTATCTTTAATATGAGGCCCACCTCTTTAATGGAATGCTGCTTTGAAAGATAAGGATGCCTTTCAAAAAAAAAGTAACCAAAATCTGTGGATAAAAACAAAGGAACAAACAACAACAACAAAAAAATAAGCCAGTGTGTTTTTATCCCTAGATGTTGGCATCTCATTTGTGTTTTCTGTAAGTGCCTTGACTGTTTCAATTTGTATAGCAATATTTCATATTTGGATGAGTTTATATCCCATAATAGTTGTACAATTTAAGAGAAGTATACAACTTAACTCCTGTTTTTTTTTTCTTGTTCGTTTATACTATTTTAATATACAAAATAAATTAAGATACAAAGTGTCCTGTCTAGTATATTAACTAAATGTTTGGTTTAATTCTTTTTTTACAGAGTGGGAAAAAAGGGAAAAGGCACTTAAAATCTGACCAGTGCAGCTGATCTCCACTGCCACCAGATTCAAAGCAGAAAAAAAAAAGAAATCTTTCTTCAGGGTTTTACAGAAATTTATATATTTGTTGTACAACTGCTCAACTATGCAGTTTTTGAACAGAAATTAACAATTACTAGTTTGTTTAACAGTCTGAATAACTGATTTGTTGCACTGCTACAGAAAAACTAGAAAAATAATATTCAAGCAGAGCTGAAACTAACTGTAATGCCATTAGTTTTCCATCGTTCAATAAAATTTACTCTTCCATTTCTATGTTTGAATTCTTGCTTTCACAGAACTTCTCAATTAAGAAGACTTCATTTAATGACTATCAAGATCCAAATGGTATGCCAATGGTCAGAGTTGCACCAAGTCAAAACTGAAAATGGGACAGCTCATGCAAAAGCATCTTGCTGTTGCTGAATCCAGATCTGTTTAAAAAAAAAAAAAAGTCAACTGACATTTTTTCCTTTCCCTGTATAGGACATCATGAGGTTCAGCAAGGCCAAGTGCAAGGTCCTGCACAGGTGCTGAGGCAACACTCAGTAGAAGTACAGACTAGGGAATGAAGGATTGAGAGCAGCCCTGCAGAGGAGGCCTGCGGGGTACTGGTGGATGAAAACCTGAACGTGAGCCAGCAATGTGTGCTAGCAGCCCAGAAGATCCTGAGCTGCCTGAAAACAAGGGCAGCCGAGGTCAAGGGAGGTGATTCTGCCTTTCTGCTCTGCTCTCGTGAGACCCCACCAGGAATACTGCGTTCAGCTCTGGGGCTCCCAGCCAGCACAAGGAGGACATGGAGCTGCTGGAGTGGGTCCAGAGGAGGGCCACTAAAATGATCAGAGGGCCAGAACACCTCTCCTGTGAGGACAGGCTGAGAGAGTTGGGGTTGTCCAGCCAGGAGAAGAGAAGGCTCCAGGGAGACCTTATTGTGTGGACTTTCAGTCCCTAAAGGGGCCTACAGGAAAGAGAGAGATTCTGTATCAGGGAGTGTAGTGATAGGACAAAGGGTGACGGTTTTAAACTGAAAGAGGGGAGATTTAGATCAGATCTGAGGAAGAAATTTTTCACTGTGAGGGTGGTGAAGCACTGCAACGGATTGCCCAGAAAAATTGTGGATGCCTCATCCCTGGCAGTGTTCAAGGTCAAGCTGGACAGGGCTCTGAGCAACCTGATTTAGTGACAGATGCCCTGCCCATGGCAGGGGGTGGATTTAGATGATGTTTGAAAGTCCTTTCCAACCCAAACCATTCTATGATTCTGTGATCTGTATCTTTTTCATACCAACATGGGTTTCAGCTGCAAAATGTAAAATGTACCATGATGTGGATGATACAGAATAAGGGGTGGATATTAAGTTAATTTTCTTCTTAGTAGCTAGACTATTGCTGCATTTTGATTTAGTATGGGATTTGGCATGAAAACTGCTGCTGACATACTGATGGTTTTAGTTGTTGCTAAGAAATCAAGGACTTTTCCAGTACCCATGCTTTGTCCAGCGTGCAGGTGCACAGCAAGCTGTGGGGGAACAGAGCTGGCACGACGGACCCACCATCCCTGCCTTAGGATGTCAGCTTAGGCCCCAGTAGGCCGATGGAATATTCTATATCATTCAATGTCATGCTCAGTGTATGCGTGAGGGTTGGCTGGGAAGCTAGCCATCTTTTCTGGAACTGCTGTTTTGGGATTTCTCTCCTCTCAGGTAGCTAGCCAGGGCCGGGCCAGGCACTGGTCAGCCAACACTGAGCAGTCACACTGTGCATCACATGCTTGTACATACCATTTTTATTATTACTATTGTCATTTTATTTCAGTTATTAAATTGTTCTTATCACAACCACGAGTCTCCTTCCCCTTTCCTCGTCTGTTCTCTTCCCTGTGGCCTGGAGGCGGGGAAGGGTGAGCCAACAGCTGCGTTTGGGTGCCGGCTGGGTGGAACCCACACCGCATTTCTGCTCCCGCAGTAGCAAACATTTGGTATTTATCACCCTGCGGCTGGGGCCGAGCTCGTCCCTTCAAAGCACGAGGCGGGGTTTGTTTCCTTGGTGTCGCTTCACGAGCTGTCCCGAGTGACGTTTTCCTGCTTTTTCCAACACAAAAACCCGGCACACTGTGAGAGGGCTGCGTTATGGATCAGAGCTCTCGCGGACCAACCGCAGCATGGGAAACTCCTGGTCACCTCCTTCATGATTTTCCTGAAACGCGAAAAGCACAGGGCTCCCGTGCACCTGGAAACAAACCTCAAGCGTCCTTGCGGCAGTTGGAATCGCTTCCCAGGCAGGGAACCTCGGGCGCAGGCGC